TTCAGATATGACTTTTATAGAAGTGTAATCATTATGATCTTTGGGGAAAACTCCTAATCTACAAAACCCAACCTGACTGGAAAACTTAGCTTAACATTGAACAGCAATGGGACCAGGACAAGTCCCTGTGGGATTCCATTTGAAACCTCCTGCCATTCTCACATGGATCCATTTGTAATGACCCTTTTCTGGCAGCTTGTGAGCTAGTTTTCTATCCACTTAATAGTAGTTTTGTCTAGCCCCCATTTTTCCACTTTGTTTATGAGAAGGTCACTTGGGCCCTTGTCAAAAACCTTGCTGAAGTCCAGATACATTTTATCCACTGAATTCCCCTCATCCAGCCAAAGAAGTTACTTTGTCAAAGAAGAATATCTAGTTATTTGACATGACTTGTTCTTAGTAAATCCATGCTGGCTGCCTACAAATGGACTTCCTTAGTATATGTTCTAGTAACTTTGTGGATATAGAGGTAAGCCTTTTAAAGAGGGGCCGGACCCTTTCTAGTCCTCTGGTACCTCACCTGTCTCCCACAGTTTCATAAATATTATAGCCAAGGGCTCTGAGATCTCTTCTGCCAGTTCCTTCAGTGCCCAGAGATGAAGTTTATCAGGAACTGCTGACCTGAATTTATTCAGACCCAGCATAAGCTCTGACTCCCTTTTTTGTTATCTCATCTCTCAGCTTGTCCCCTTCCTTATCAAAATATTTTTTATAAGGTGGCTGGCTGCCGCTTATATTTTTCTGTGAAGACTGAGGCTAAGTAGCTATTGAGTAGCTCCACCTTCTTTGCATCTTCCGTTAAGAGGACCCTTTTGCTATTTAACATTGGACCCACAGCTTCCTCGGTCTTTCTTTTTTGCTGAACATACTTAGAGGCCCTCTTCTTCTTTCTGTGGCCTGAGATGTAGTGGTGGAGAAGTTTGTGTGTCCCAATGTTCTGCAGAGCTATGTTGCCTGGAGTCTCGTGCCCCTGGCAGGGTCACCCATGGTAAACAGGCCTGAGGGGAGGTTCCAGACAAAGCATACTCCAACTCCAAGCCCTCAACAGCAGCTGGGGTGCATAGGGCAGCCATGCGGGGGGGTGACTGGGAGAGTGAGCAGGGGTCAGGGGGCTCATGGGAGAGCCCTTCACACAGTGTGGGGCAGCAGGAGCCAGTGTCAGAGTTTTGCTTTTTTTTTTTTTTTTAAGAGCAGGGAGCTGGGGCCAGGCAGGGCAGCCATTAACAGGGCTGGGAGAGCAGGCAGGGGATGGGGCCTGTCTGATTTGGAGATTCAGCTGATTCGGCAGTGGCCGAATCTCCAGATCAGATTCAGCCGAATTGATTTGGGGCAGTGATTCGAATCACTGCTCCCTGAATTGGCTGAATGTGAATCTGAAGTGAATACTAGCTTCTTCACACAGGCCTACTTGGAAAGCCCCAGTACAGTTACTACTATAGATTTTATTTCAGCTGAGAAGGCACTCCTTTAGCTTCTGCCTGGGGTGCACGGAAAGATAAATCCCAACTCTGCCATTATCATCAGGAAGTTCTCAGTGGCTACTGTGTGCCAAGCAACACAGTGAAAGTCACAAAGTGCCAGGTAGGTGAATTTGTTGTGCCATTTTATTTAGCTTATGGCATTATAGGCCTAAGGAATCATAACAAGCATAGGAATCATAACAAGAAATACTCCCATTTTTATGGTTTTTAAAAATTGATGCTAAGCCCTTCTGTAGCCCCACCAGTTTCTGAATCCATGCAGAGCAGGGGTGTTCACAGTTTTAGCCCCATGGGCTAGATGAATGGCACAGGACTGGTCTGCAGGTCCAGTAGGCTATGCATCTCCCCCACATGCCAGGATCAGGTCTCAGAGCCCCATACCACCTCCACCCAGCCACAGCCTGATCCCAACCAGTGGCAGCAGCACAGGTTTCCAGGGCCTGATCCCTGTGAATGGGGGCTGGGTCATGTACTGCAGTGCCCCCACCTGGCCAAGATCAGGCTCCAGGGGCCCTGTGTTGTGCACACTGTTTCCTAAGTTGTAAGCATCATGTTTGTGTCTGCATGGTAGGTTAGTTAGCATGGGGGGCACCTGGAACTGTCACTCAACAGTGTTAAGTGACTCACCTGCTGTGTTGGTGTGCTGGGTCAGGAAGGAACCCCTTGTGTAGCAGCACAAGGTATGTGAAGGTGCCATGCAGATCTGCCTTGAGATTCAAAGTTCTCTTCTAAAATTGACACAGCAGGTATTTGAACCTTATACTTCTACACCACAGGTATGTGCCCAGACAACTGAAGTGCATGAGTTGGGTCTCTCTTTCTTTCAACTTTTTTCACTTGGAATTGTCTAGGTTCATCCTGCTACAGACCAGGAAAGTTTGGGAAACTGCAAAAACTTCTCTGTGTCAGAGAAACTATTTATGGCCAGAGGCTCAGCAGTGGCTGGGACAGCAGCATGGTTTGGGTCAGCTCCTGGAGCTGCTGTTTATGTGCTTCTCTAAGTGGGTGCCCAGGGCTGGTGGCCCAGCTGCCCTCTGCTACTTACACTACTGCTTGCAGCATCCTGTCATCAGGGCCCAATTTTGGTTCCTTATTCATGAGGCAGAAAGATGCAACAAGTCTGCTCTTTCTTTCTAGTCAGCTCAGCAACTTCCCTACCATTTCTGGGCTCCTCCAGTGCTAGCTTGGGCAACCTGAATATCAGAAAGACTATGCATCAGAGGCTGAATATCAGAAAGATTAATATCAGAGTCTATCTATCAGGGTAGCAGAGCCAGCTGGGGAGGAATCTGCCTATGGGCACCTGTACACATGCAGTGAGGCTACTCCAATGCGCTGCAATTACAGTGTATCGGAACAGATTCAATTAATCAAGTCTGTTGGAGCGTGGTAAATACCATGCTCCAGCAGACTCCAGTGTCACGTGTATTAGAATCCTTGCACTGAAAAATGGGGGGAAAGGGGTTTAACTAAAGCATGTTCAATGAGCTTTAGTTAAAATGCCTCCACCACTGTTTTTCAATGCAGAGATCCCGAAACATGTGACACTCTAGGCGCTTTAATTAGAGTGGCTGTGAGAGTGCCCCCCACACCCCCTCCTGGACCATGTGTATAAATGCCCTATGTGTGCACACAGTACTATCCATCTTTTCCCTCTACTGCACTTACGTAAGAAGAAACTCAGCACCAGAGGTAACTAAGCTTGGCTTGCAAGAGCACCTCTACCAACTTGATCTGAAATGAACTAGGATCATAGGGGTAAGTTGGTGAAAACTTGAGAACAAAGTATTTCAGGGGATCAAATAGAACAGGATGGAAGATACCTTTGTAGGAAGGATAACTAAAGGCTTTTAAGAATTAAGGAAAACTGAATTTGTTCTGGGGAGAAGAAAGGGAAAGAGAGAAGGGAGTGTGGGTCTGGTGGTGTAAGGGAATTTATGTTCTGGGATGAGGTGTCTTATGGCTTTTGGTTTCATATGGTTTTGCCGTATGTTCCAAACAAGCAGTAGCCTGCAGTTACATCACACCAGGGGCAGAGTGCAAAAGAGACTGTACTTCAAAGCTGATGTCTATGCTACAATCAAAAGTGTGATTACATCACAAGTCTGAGCTTTAATCTGGTCTCTTGGGTACTGACACCTTTGAAGCTGCAACTGCATGAACTTCAGGCACCAAGTAAGTAGCTAAGGTCTTGGGGTACCTGTGCTGCTTCGGCCATACTGTTCTTTGTATCAGTTGAAAGCTCGTTCAAGTATGCCTGCATGTGCTGCAGTCACCTAGTCGGAGTTCAGCCAGTCTCTCCTTCTGCCTTCTGGTTTCCCCCTTAGTCTTTTCTTTATCCCTGACACACATTATTTCATACGTACGGCTACCCAGATACTGCTCAGCTCCCTGCATCTCCAGCAGCTGCTTCTCCTCCTCCTGGTCCCAGGCAGCAGGTAGCACAGGAAAGCAGCAGTGGCTGTGAGGACATATGCAGGGCACCCCGTACTCAGCCAGGCAGCGGAAAGCTGCAGGTAAGTGGCTCCTGCCCCAGTGTGCAGGTATCTAGCTCCAGCTCCAAGTCACTTTCTACCCACTCGGCTTGTGCCAGGAAGTTCTTTGTTCTGGCTTGGGCTAGGGCCATGGCCACGGCCCAGGAGGTGTTGTCAGTGGGCATGGGGAAGGTGCAGATGAGAGTGCAGCATAGGCTTACCTGGGCAGGGCTTGGCCCCATACCGAGCTCTGTGTGGGCAGCCACAGGCCGGATGTAATCAATTGGCAGGCTGAATCCAACCCACAAGCTGTATTTTGCCTACCCCTGGTCTGGAATCAGAAGCCAGGGAGCATTTTTGGGAAGCAAGAGCATGGGACATGCAGGGCTCCAGCTGGAGAGAAAGACAGAGTGCGCTGTGGGGGCTGAAGAAGCAGAGGCTGTGGGGCCAGCAAGAGGGAGATACTGAAGAACAGTAGAGGTGATATTAAGTGGGCTGGAAAAGGACACTATGACAGGAGGCAGTGTAAGGAGATCCTGCCTTGATCTCTCAGATCCCAGGCACAGGTGTGGTTTTAAAAATAGCCTTGTCATATACATGATGCATTGTTCTCAAATAACAGTAACAATTACCTTTGAAGTGATTATAGGCATATGCTGTGCATCATTAATATAATTGAACTTAGAGAACAATATCACAACTTTTTCAGCAGGCTCCCACATTTTTACACAGATGTCCCATTTTTTCTGCAGTGAGATCATCATGTGTGTTATTACCCCAGACCTGTTGGCTCTACTCATACCTTGTGAGGCCAAGGCCAGCCTTCCTCCACTTCTTGTCCCCATGTGTAAGAAGCAGTGGATTTGATTTAAATCAAATTGATTTAAATCATGATTTAAGTCACTAGTCAGGAAGCCTCGACTTAATCATTGTTTTCTACAAAAAGTGCATTCTTGTTTGATAAAACCTGAATACATATTATTCATAACTCAGAGAGAGATGTCTTTCATTATCTATACATTTTTAAATCAGTGATTTTTTTTTTTTGGATATTTTTTTCATATTAATTATGCAGTAACATCAGAAAACTCAATTATGATTTGGTTATTTATTTACCAAAACTAATTGAAGCAGATACTTTTGAACTATCTCCAGTTCACTAGATTAATCATGGGTATATTTGGGGGATATTTTTGCCACACTATATTAGGAGGACAACAACCATCACCAAAAACAACAGACATTTACATTTTTTTTTTTATTTAAGTAAAACAACACGCTTATCTATTTTGGATATTTTTATTCAACAACAAAGATGTGTTTTTTAAAACAAAACAAGCATATGTATTTTTGAATTTTTAACTATTTCAGTTATACTTGTGAAATGTGTTTTTAACAAAAATTAAATGGATTATTTCAGCCGGGTCAACGTGAGTAACTTAAAATTCTGGGTTATGCAGCAAACTCAGTCTTCACTTTCCTCTTCCTGTTTATTCATAGACTGGAAAAGAAGACAAGCTTTCCTGTTTTTTCAGTTCCCAAGCTGTCACAGGGTACTCCCCAATTTTTTTGAAATGCCCTGCTCTATGGGCAGTCTACCTGGCTCTTGCCCACCATGCCTTGATGTTGGTTGAAATACAGAGTGCAGGAGGCTTCGCTGGTCTTATTGCAGTGACCACTCAAATTGTGGTCCTGGCCTTATGGGCCAAATACATGGCTCCATACCTTCCCTATACCATGCCACATGCCTTGCAGATGGCATCCTTACAGATATTCAACCAATTGCTGATGTAGCCCTTCACTGGGCCTTCTGACTTTGGCCTCTCTCAGCCCCACTCTGGATCTTCATACCTCTCAGTCTCTTTGCACAGCCCCCTCTTGGACTGCCAGCCCCCTGTTTCCCTCACTATGATGATCCAGCCCCTCACTGAGCCTCACTATCCAGGCCCTTCAACCCACCTGGCCCACTGGGCCTCTGGATCTATGTGGTCCTAGTCTTTCCGGGCCCCTCACTGGGCCTCTGGTCCCCTGTGGTCCATGTGGGGGGGGTCCATTTCGTCCATTCATTGCCAAGTGCTTTTCTGTAGGTGTGGCAGGAACATCAAGTGCCTTGCCACACTAATAATTTCTCAATTTAGAATGAATTAGTCCAAAGGAAGAAAATATTCTTTTTGCACCTGCAGAAGAAGCTACTGCTGTGAAAAGCTGGACAATCACTTCAATAGTGTGTGATGGATCCAGGTGCTTTAGTAACTTCCATCAGTTCACTGGTGTGACTCTTTTAAACCTCATCAGCAAACATATATTTCTTGAATGGTTCACCTTTACCTCCAAAATTTATTATAGTTGGTATTATGGAGGGATGATTACTGGATGCCCATGTCATAGCCAACTCCTCTTCTTCAGCAGTTAAGGACTGATCCTGGTACTGAGTACTGAGGCAAGAAAATGAGATTTATCGATTCATTTTTTAATGCCTGTAATTTAACTCTGTCATTGTGTATTTCTCTTCCAAAGGTCTAACTCATTTCTTTCCAAATTTCAACAGCATCAGCAATAAAACAGTGATTTCCCTGCACTTTGTTCAAGGCTATGGAAATAGGCTTCAGGATAGTCAGCTTATGTTCTACATTTCTCTTTATCCCAGTGTTGAGAACCTTGGCTATGACAGTTCCATCTATGTTGTCATGATATTGTTCACAAATTGTCATCAGGATAGGCCAGTTCCCAATATATCACTCAAAATAGTCCACTACTGAGTTCTATCACATGTCTTAGGAGAGAGTTATTTTGGTTCCTCCTGCTTTTTTTCAGAGCAGCTGCTGCAAAGTAGTTGTTACAGAAGTATTTTGCAATTTCAACAACATTACGCTTTATTTCTGGAGCCCTAAAGTCTGTGACTAAGAGGTGCATCAAATGAGCACTGGAGCCATCTATTGTTAGCTTGGGGCTTTCTTCACTTTCTTCTAGATTTCTTCTCATCTTTGATACATTTGCAGCATTATCTGTGACAAAGTTGCATACTAGACATTTGAATTTTTTTCACAGTTTAGTAATTAGGGCTGTGCGAAATGGCCCTGTTCCATTTTGACTTGCGTTTCAACGTTTTGACGGAACAGCATTTTGTTTTGAATTTTCATTCAAAACCGCTGTTCCATTTCATTTTGTCAAAACAGTTCCACTGTTTTGACGTTTCACCCATAGGCTATAATGGGGAAGCTTGAAACAGCCTATTACTTTGTCATTTCTGGCCTGATTTGAATGAAACTTGCAGGAATGGTAGCTCCTTCTGAGGGCATGAAGTTTGCCAAGCTTCAAGGAGATAGATACAGGGGTTTGGGGAAAATTGCACCTCAAAATCTTGAAAGCAAAACTCATGTCACGTGTATGTGTTATCCACAAAACTGTCAAAACTACAGGCATGCTAGCCCCTGCTGAAGTCACAAAGTTTGCCAAGTTTCAAGGAGATAGGTGCAGGGGTTTTGGGGTACCTGCACCTCAAGCTGAGGACAAGCAAAACTTGTGACATAAGTAACACTGTGTGTGTTAAGGCACAGCAGGGTGAAAACTGCAGGCATGCTAGTCCCTACTCAGGCCATGAAGCCTGCCAGCTGTCAAGGAGATAGGTGCAGGGGGAGTCTGGGTTCTGGGGTCCTGCACTAGTCACACCACTGGTCACACCCATGCCCTGTGAAGGAGAGGTAGGCATGATCTCCACCCCAGCTGCTCCAGATGTCCAAGGTGAAGTGAAAGGCCACCTGCAGACCTGCCTTGTGCAACTCCTCCCTCAAGTACTCCCTGCATGCCTCATACAGGGATGGCACCACCGTTTTACTGAAGGTGGTGTGTGTGGGCACTTGGTATGATGGGGCCATGAGCTGCCTTAACCTTGCCTGCTCAACTAGGGAGAATGGCTGGCCATCCACAGTAAGCATCTCTCCAATGGTCTAGGTTATCTCGCTCACCTTTGGAACGTGCCCCCCTTTGTGTCCGCCTTTCCTCCACTGTTCCAGGGTGGCCTGCCTCTGCTTTGGGGGGATGGGTCTTTGGAGTGAGAGGGGGACTTTCCTTTCAGTATGCTTCCATGGGTGCCAGGCTGAAGACGAGCAAGGGCAAGGAGGTGGTGCCTGCGGAGATGCATCAGCATCCCCGTGTTGCTCATGTATTTTGTTGCCTTGCCCCAGCTGGTTTTGGCTCAGCAATGCAGGCAGATAGTGTACATGGGATCATCTTTCAGCTCAAAATAATCCCAGACAGCACTACCCACTCACTTCTGAGGTGCAGGTGCATCTGTGGATGCTGTTGCCCTTTCCTCCTCCCCAGCAGTCAGAGGCACAGCAAGAGGAGGAGTGGACTCAGCTGAGCCACTTGCCTCCACCTGTACATCGACCTCCTCCGCAGTGCCTTCTGGGGAAGGAGACCTGGCTCTAGGGGAAACTTGAAGGGTGTCGAGCACAAACTTAGCTGATTCTCCCTCCTTCCCTAGAATTTCCCTTGCTAGGGCACTGAGATCCAGCACCAGCTGCCCCTCTGGCACTGGAAGGCTGAGCATAGGAAGTAAAATAGGGGTGGACTAGGCTGCTGTGCTGGTGCTGGTGCTTCTTGTTGCAGTCATGGTGGGCTGGGGGGGGTTATGGCTGGTGCGCATGGATGGGATGCAGTCTCAGGCACAGGCAGTAGCACTGGCACTGGTCTCCTCTCCTTGCTGCTTGTAGCAGCCTCATCCCTTTTAGCTGGAGGAAAGAGGGTGTGTCTCATTTTGGGGGGGAGGAACTTACAGCTGTCCCTGCATCTCCTCTTCTGCCCCTCCCTGAAGGCTGGCCAGTGTGGCCACCTGCCTTTCCACCATGCTTCATGGTGTGTTTCATGTCTTCCTTTTCTACAAATATATATAAGAATACAAATACATTTATAAATTTAAAAATGTGGGTGTCTGGTGCAAATAAGAAATGTTAAATGAAACGGCAAGTATATGGTTTAACCCCTGTATAAATTCAAAAGTGTGGGTGCAAGATCATTGCTGGTACTAGTAGGTGTGTGTATGTGATGCAAATAAGAAATATTAAAAAGCAAGTATATGGCTTAGCCCCTATATAAATTCAAAAGTGTGGGTGCAAGTGTGTAGGTAGGTGTGTGGTACAAATAACAAATGTATAAAGAATGCAAAAAGAAATATGGCTTCATCCTGATATAAATTCTATAATTTATGCTTCAAAGCTTTAAATGTATAGAAATAAAATATAAATGTATTTCACTTCCTATATGCATTACATTCGACAGTAATCCTATCCAATATAATTATAGAATTCAAAAGAATGACTCAGTGAATATAATAAAATAAAAAAGCCTTGAAGAGAAAGGTATTCTGAATCTGAAATCCCTCTTGCTAGCAAGTAGGGAATTCTTTAGAAGATCAGTGCTGCTAGCCATAGTAGTCTGATGCGGAGCTGCTGGAACACACAGCTCACTAACTGCCACCAAAGCAGAAAGCAGGGCAGTTCAAACAATGTTGCCTTTTATGCAGTTTTTCCATCCCTCCCCCACAGCACTGGGTTTGGACGGAACCTCAGGGAAGGATGAAAGTCACTGGCCAGCTACACAGTCAATAATGAGAGCGCTCCTTCCCCACCTTTTCCCCCTCTTCCCCCTCCCTCTCCTTACTTTAGTTTCTGTTTCCCTGCAGGCAAACCCAGCTTGACTTTGAAACTCACAACATTTCAAAATTTTTGCAACGCTTTGACTTGCCTGGTTTCATTTCAAAGCTGTTTCAAAGCTCTCCGTTTCATTTCAATTTTGCTGTTTCGAGCTCAAAATGACTCAAAACGAAACTGCTGGTGAAATTTCACACAGCCCTATTTAGTATAGCTTTTATTGCTACTTTTTGTAAGTATTCTGCTGTGTATGCATTTCCTGGTGTATAAATTGTTTCTGTAAGGTAGACAGTCCCTTCTGTTGTCAAACAAGCATATATTACTGGATCATTGTGGACATTGCTCCACTCACCAAGACTCAGGTTAACAATTTTCCCCTCTAGAATTTTGCCCATTCTTCAATTTCTTTCTCATGCACTTTAGCCAGAAATTTGCCTGCTATATTTTCTCTGTTGGGTAAAGTGTATCCTGGTCATAATGGCTGAA